ATCTCAGCTACCCCTGGGTAGAACAGGGTGGGTTCCAGTCAGTGATCGCTCTCCCGGGATGCTCAGTTCATCTGTTTCTCAAAGTCTCCACAAGGCAGTGGACAATAGGAGCCCTGCCCTTAAGTCAATGCCTTCCCATTATGAGTGTCCACAGGACAATGGGGAAATGGACACACGGGTGCCGTAGCTCTGCCCAGGCTTATACTGCCTGCCTTATGCCTGGGCAAGGTACACTCCTGGCCTCCCAGACTCACTCCCTGCCAGTGGATATCACAACCCAGAGAAGCTCCCAGAAGCCTCTGTTGGAAGACTCACCCTTGGGGAAAGGAGTCTCCTTGTGCTCACACCTGGCAGGCCTTTCATCCGTGAGAGTCCCCATTCCCTTCCTGAGCCATCAGGGCTTCCTGAGCCAGATTCCTGCTTAATTCAGAGTCTCTATTAGCTCTGCTGCATCTAAACCAGTTTCCTTTCCCCTTGTACCATGTGTCCCTGTGTCTGAGCAGAGAGACAGGCCCCCTTCTCACTACCTCTTCTGCCTGAACACTCACACTCAGTCCCTGTGGCCTATGGCTCAACTCAGTGTTTCGGCAGTGATTTCCATACCCTGAGCCCCAGTCTCCATTGGGTGGAGGTGAGCCCACACCCATCAGCAGGTGTGATCTGTAAACACATCAAGGCCCAGCCACACTCAAGGATTGAGGCACAGCGTACAAGATCAACCTTAAAACAGGATAGGAGGCCAGTTGAGGGATAGGAGCCAGTAGTGAAAGGCCCATTCTGCTTGGTCCTATGAGGTGCTTAGGTCAGGCAAACCAGCAGAGAACTAAGGACTGGAGCCCCTGGGGACAGCAGAGGGATGGGGGGGCAGGAGCAGGGATTACTTTAGAGATGCTTCTGAGGAGAGAAAAGAGCCGTGGGAAAGAGGAGAGAGCATGGCTGCACAGCTCTGTGGGAGTGCTAAACAGCTCAAATGCTAAACATATGTATTTTGCCACAATTTACAAAAATAAGCAAACCCTTGACACTTAAGTTGGTTTAAAACAGAAAGAAGGAAACAAACAAACACTAAACAAAACCAAACTTTTCTTTTCACCAGAGCCTCAGGAGCCCCTTCCTGTCAGCTGACTCCTCCTGCCCCCTGGGGAGGGGCACTTCTTGTGGCATGGCTTCACTGGGCAAGGTGAGAGTTCCTGAGACAAGCCCAAGAACCCATCTCCTCTCAGATGAGAAGACTCTGTCCTCCCAGGCTGTCCCCTCTGCCCCAAAGTGGAGAAAGACGCTTTGACAAGGAAGCAGTGGGAGCCAGGAGGCCAGGGACTGGGCCCAGCTTTGCCTTGTCCTCCTGCCATCCTCCACCAAGGTCCCCCCTGCCCTGTGATTAGCAGCAAGAGGATGGCTTGTCTAATCCAGCTCCTGCTGAAACAACAGGGTCCCTAATTGAAATGTATGAGAAACAATTAAGAGTAATTGGCATCAATTAATACGTGATTTTCTCCAAAAGAGTACACAACGAGGGGCGGAATCGCATTACGGTTTCCACGGGCACACGGATGGCTTCCACGGGAACACATGGTTTCCACCAGCACACACATGCAGTTTCTACAATTACATTCCTCCCCAAGACACGTTCATGATGGCAGGAGGACTGTGTCTGAATTCTCACACGTGATGGCAGAGGTGCTGTGTGGCCAAAGCTGATATGCGTGTTGCACAAGGTTACAGAAAGGGAAGTGCTTGCCGGTGTGCTCCTGGAAGGCGGGTCTGCCACGCAGAACCCCAAACTTGCTCCCCACCCTGGGACCACCCCCTGTCAGCTCTGTTTAGGATATGCCAACCTTCCCTCATCCTTGGGGAGACAGGGGCGGGGGCACATCTGCACCAGGAGACCCTGAGTCCCAGAATCCTCCAGGCTGGGCAGCACTGGCCCCGGCAAGCTGTAAGCCCTCACTGCTGCCATCTGCCAAACAGTGCCTGTGGTGGGCTCCAACAGCCTAGGGCAGAGACACAGCACTCAGGGTGGGAACTGTGATGATAGACGCCGGCTCTGGCCAGCTGCTGATGGGGGTTAAGTTTATGGTGAAGACCCCACCAACAGGTGGGATTTTTCCATAGGACTTGGCTTGCTGAAGATGGAGGTGCTCTCCAGCTGCACCACCTTTCTGTAGCCAGTGTAGAAATAAGGCCTGGAGTCCTCCCTCATTTTACTCCTCATTTACTCATCCCTGCCTCAGCCTCTGATGGAGGGTTTTCACGTTGGCTCCCTAGGTCTCCCGTGCTCAACATCTCCATGGAATGTGGCCCCCACCGTGACAGCAGAGGGAGCTACAATCTGGGACACAGGCCATGCCCACCCCCTCGACCCACAGGGGGTCCAAGCCCACCCAGGAGTGAGCCCTCTCCCTGGGGAAAGGCCTGCTCTAGGCTATCCCCTGGGAGCCCATGGTGGGCAGACGCTGTCTGTTGTGTGGGCTCAACCCTTTCCTTATCAGATGGAGCTGCTTCAATTCCCAGCATTCAGGTCCATTTCCTGTGAACTGAAAGCCAAGCTCCAGACATAAAGGGCTGGTCCTTATCTCAGCACCCCCTGACCCCAGATGCACACGCCCCAGGCAGCTCTCATTTCAGCAGGTGAGCCAGTCACTGGTGCAGGGGAGGAAGGGTCTGGTGGGCAGATGTTATGGAGTAGGGAGTGGGGCTTCTGAGCATGGAAAGCAAGAGGACTCTTGGGTCTGAGTCTTTCTGTCTTTGCCTCTAGGATCAACCTGAGGACCTACAAGAGATACACACACACACACACACACACACACACACACACACACAGGGAGGGGGCTCTTTGCTTTCCCAGCCTGAAGCTCTGCAGCCCTCTGCTCTCGATGAGGTCAGGGAGAGGGCAGAATTAACATGGAAGCTGAGCTGGGGGTCCACCATGTTCAAGGTCCCAGGGATAGATAGATGGTGGGGGACGGGGAGCAGCCTGGGAACAGGAAGCAGAAGCCAGCTACACAGGAGGGGACTCAGGTCTGCTCATCTGCACTCAGCCTGGAGGCTTAGTTCTGGCCAGGCAAGGGTTAAGTGCTTCTGTGTGACTTGACAAGTCCAAGGTGAAGTGTGTGGCCAGTAGTCTCAGAGGCATCCTCAACCCTCTTGGCCGAGAAATCTCACAGCCCTCTGGATAAGCTCTGTGTTATCACCTGTGATAGGGAATCCCAGGCCCAGAGCATAGGGCCACATTCTTAAAGGGACAGATCTCAAAGCCTCTTCCTGAACCTCCCATCCCCACCTCCCTTGTACATTGCCTCCCAGCTGGAGGAACTTGCCTCAGATGCTCACCAAGTTTCATTAGGTGGGGTCCTAGCTTGTAGAACATGGGGTCTTCAAAACTTCAGCATGGCTGATTCTCTCGGACTCCCTGGTTTCTTCCCCAATAATGCTGATTGTCCTACAGCCAGGATCACTCTCAACCCCTAAAAATAAGGGCTCACACTGGGCTGGTGGCCTTAGATGCCTGGACTGGGCTGGCTGGGTAGCAGAGTGGTCAGGCACAGTACAGCTTCCTTGGACTAGTAGGGCCACACCCTCTTAAGCCTGCAGGCTTTCCTCTGTCTGGTCTTTCCTCTGTGATGGGGTTGGGCTAATGTTAGCGCAAGTGTATAGCCTGTGACACTAATTCTGAGTGCCGATGGTGACTAAGAGTGCAGCTTCTTCAACAGGCAAGTGTCAGGCACAGTGAAGAAGCAGAGTGAATCCCACCCTAGGCTTAGACCTTCCAAGGCAGAGCCCACAAAATCAAATTCCCCTGGCAGGCTCATGGCCTCTGTGGGGGCTAACTTCACCTCTCCTTACAGGCCTTTATCTCCAACATATTGGGACCCTCTAGCTCTCAATGCCACAGGCCACCAGAATGCTACATGCTTAAGGGTGTCTGAGGATAGAAGACCCAGGAATGGGGCTCATGACTCAGTGTGGGTTTTGAGTGCCAGGAAATATACCCCAAATAAACCTACCCCAAGACGTAGGTCTCATATTACCTTGGAGCCATTGAGCCCTGGATGGTTTTCACCATACCTGCCCTGCATGGAGTGCATCTCGGTGACGTTGGCAGCCATTCTGGAGGCCTCCACAGAAGAGGGCTGGCTGCTAGGGGTGATGGAGAGGCTGCAAGAGCTTTCTAATTTTTCTAAGAACTGGTCCGTGGAGAGAGAGCCCCTTCAACACTAAGGAGAAAAGACCTCTGCTAGACCAGAGGAACAGGACCCCAGAGTCCTCTATTGCTATGGAGCCAGCCCTGGGGACCCTGAACCTGAGACTACACAGGCATCTGGGTAAGTAAAAACTACTCTTCTCCTCCTTACTAAGGAAAATGAGGAGCAAGAGGGAGATAATGAGCCAGGATCCCATTGGCTTTAGGGCCCTTCTTTGTGTTGATGTCTCAGCCTGGTTCTCAGGGTGGAGGCTCATCCTGGGTCAGAAGAGACAAGCTTTAGGCACAGGAGTGGCTCTTCTGGCAGCTTTCCTTGTTCTGTAGGGAGGCATGTGTTGTCTGTGGCCAGTTTTGGCTTTACCCCTCAGCACAGGGACAGAGACCAAAGCCTTTGATTCAAGAGGACATCTGCACATTCCTCCCCAGCTTTGTGAAGAGCCCCAGCTGCCAGAGGAGTGATGAAACTGCTAGACATGCTAGACATGCTGTCAGCTTCCCGTGCCCCCCCAAAGGCCAGTTGACACAGCCAGGGACTTGTTATCCACACAGAGGACAGTTTCAGTCCCCACTGTCACTTAATGAGCAGAAGCAGAGAGTGCAAGGCACAAGACAACTCTCCATGACAGAACTTGACCCTGAGCACGAGGAGTTTCAAGGCTGATAGCCCTTGACCAGGAAGTACTCGTGTCCCTGCCAGAGTCAACTACAGCTGAGAATCCAAGCAGGGATGGGTTCAGGGTGTGTGGGAGAATCTTCCAGGCAAACTGCACACTTTTAAACCCCTCGGCGAAGGCCCGCCTGGAGCCAGATAAAGTCAGGATTTGCAACACAAACTTGCAAAGCAATTATTGTTACCAAAGTCGAAACTCTCAGATTGGAGAGAGCAAAAGAAATCAATGATAATTAAATTCTTCTATAAACACGGCCCCTACCCTCTGGGGGCTCTTAGCACGACGCGCTGTCCAGGAGTCGGCTCTCATTACAGAAAAAACACAGGGCTCGTTTTCTGGGCGAGGACCAGACCAAATAAATCTTTCTGTTGCTCGCCTTTGTTAAGTTGTAAGTCACTATTTTCAGAGAGTAGACAAGGGGGGCTGCGTGTCGGGAGGGCTGGGAGGCATGGGACACAGAACTAGAAAGAGCTGTCTGTCGTTCATTCTCCTCACACAGATGTGGCCACCAGGGATGCTCTGTATACCTGAGTGGGGCTTGGGGATCACAACACATGCATATCCACATGGGATCCCTGCCGCAGGAAAGGGCACACAGGCGGAGTCCCCAGGGCCCCATCATCACGTGGCCACTTCCTGGTGAAACAGTCTCTGCATGGACAGGGCATAGGGGTCTAATGCCATCGGCCTAAAACCAAGCTAGACTCTTTCTTTCCCAAAGCCTTAGCCAGCTAGACACACCCCAGAACGTGTTGCTAAACTGGTCCTGGCAGAGAAGTGGCCATTTCCCTGTTTGTCTCAGGGTGACAATTGCCTGAGTTCTGTTTTAAAAGGCCCACTCCCTGACTGGGAGCACAGGGCAAGAAACCGCTGCATCCTCAGCCCTCTTGTGCAAAAACAAAGACTCAAGGACACGAAGGATGGGACCTGGGGCTGGAAGAGTAGACAGAAGTGGCCTTGGGTTCCAACCCTTGGAGAACCTCAGGGCATCTCTAATCTGTAACTCCTCGGTTTTGAAGTAGCGGGACAGTAAGACCCACCAGGAGGCTGCTCCGTGTCACTCTGTAACTCTTACTCTCTACTCTAGCGACACATGCATGGCTCCCCACTCAGGGTCGGCTGCAGGGAATCAAGGGCGTTCCATATTTGCTAAAGGGATCATCCTCAGGGAGGAGGTGGCTATGGTCATCATGACAGGACAGGACTGGGTGGGGCTGGCTAAGGTTCTCTCAGGGACCTGTGGAGAATCCAGCTTCAAGTCACATCTCTGATTTTGATTGCTTGCTCTGGTCGATACTTTAGCTACTGGAGAGGAGAGGTTCTCTTATATCTATCTTCTTTTAGGAGCTTGGAAGGAGCCCTCCAGTTTCCTGGGCACTTTCTGCCTCATCCTTACACTATTCCAGGGAGCAGGGGGATGGTGGGCCAGGAGATAGAGGCAGAGAATGTCAGAACCAGATCCCACTGAACACTGTAGCTCCTTCCCACTGCCCTTCCACTAGCCACAGCCCTGCGGGTGTATCTGAATGTAGGAAAAATTCTCTCCCCACCTCTGCTAACACCAGGTGGCTCCTACCTGTACGGCTGTTCCCCAGTGTGTGTCCTCAGATGTCTTGTGAGATTCGCAGATCTGGGGAAGATCTTGCCACAGTACCTGGGGCAGAGGGAAGAGAGGTTGGAGAGGCATAGGGTGGTCCACACTGCCCTTTTCCACATTTCTCTTCATCCGGAGCCTACCTGCAAGTGTATCTCTCCTTGCCCTTCCTGAGGATGGGATCCGAGAGCGTTGGGGGTGGGGACCGGAAGTTGAAGGGGTGGTGAGGCAGGGGCTGCAGGGAGCTGCCTGAGTCGGCCTTCATGGCTGCAAAGCTCTCCAGCTTCTCCGTCATGGTTTCTATGGCTGACATCTGCAGGGGGGGAGAGGGCAGAGGTCAAGGGCTCCACCTGAGCGGTCACCAGAGTGTGTCTTCAGAGAGTGGGTACCTGGGGTCCTTGTGTCTAATCATATCAATAACCCTCAGATGGCCATGGGGGGCGGGGCCATAGCTTACACTGTTCTTGTCCTTCTTAGAACTGAGGTTATAGTCCAGGGTTATCTGGAATGGTCCTTCAGCCTGGTAGGCAGAATTTGATCAAAACTCCAGGCCCTGCAGGCTCCACTGAGACTTAAGGCTTTGGTAACAGGGGCACTGATCATGAAGGGGCACCTCTCTCATTTGTCCTACGGACACCATGGGAGGCCAAGGCAAGGGCCAACAGAATGGAGGAGCTAAAGAAATTCACGGAACAATTTTCTGGGCCCTGTTACAAGTTGTGACAAGGTGTCCTGTGGCCCTCCGGAGACACTCTACATGCCTCTGCTCAGCATCTATCCCAGAGGGCTGGTTCTGTCTGGCAGACCACAGAGATGGGCCTGGTGAGGATAGACAAGGGAAGACAGGGAGGGGCAGGTACAGATGGGGGTGTAGAGGGAAAAGGTTCAGGCTCTCCAAGTGCTGTGAATGCTGGGAGAGACCAGGCCTAGATATAAGGACCCCAGAACCCTCACCAATGGGGCACCGACGAACAGGAGGTTAGGTGTCACCTCCTCACCCAGGCTCCTTGCTCATGCCAGCTGCCTCTAGGGGGGTGTTTATTGCTTAGTGCTGGCCCCCCTGCACACGGCACCTGTTCACTGATGTCAGAACCTGGGACCCAGCTGCCCATGGATGAACAAAAGTAGCAAAGCCACGGGGCTGGGACCCTTCTGCATAGCTCCAGTTACTCTGCCCTTTGCACCTGGTTGAAATGCTTGATCCTCTCAGGCTCTGTTTGCTGGGTACTGCCAGCAGGGGACAGAGGGCCTTGTACTACTGCTACTTGGAAGCCTCATAATGCAGAAACATTTGGTATCTGGGGAAACAACAGTGGGGCTGTAACAGAAACCCATAGAAAGCAATTGAGTGGACACTATGCCCAGCCACAATGGTGAGCTGTTGGACAGCTCTGTGTAGGCCATAGAGATTTCAGGCTTTGCCCTGTAGAGATGGGACCAACATATGACCCTCAACAGAACAGACTACACTCACTCTTGGCAGCCATGCTCACCGGTGGGCAGATGGAATCTGCCTTGTTCTCTAGGCCACCCCCTCTACCACACACAGCCCCTCTAGAGTCTTTTCCAAGGATGGATCCTCAGGGTGACACTGAGGTCCTTGGCACAGCAGTTAACTGCCTACCTCTCCACAAGTCTTGGTGATAGACTATGGATATAGAGACTCCCCAAGGATCCCAGGCTTAGCAAGGAGCTCCTTTTGGGCATGCCCACTTTGCCAAGAGCTTCACATTTGCATGTCAAGCCTCAGGCCCAGAAGGGCTTGGTGATGATGGAGCTGGGCCCCAGAGGGTACAGGTTATTTAATGTACAGCAGTAATGTCTGTTCTGAGGAAACCTTCTTGCCATGGTTACTAGGCTCTTTCTGTCTGAATGACAGTCTATCAGATCATTTAACTGGTGACCCATACGGTCATCTTTTTTCTGCCTCTTCATCCTGGCCCTGGGCCACAGTGGCAGGCAGGTAGGCCCATGGGAGCAGTGGGTAGAAGGGACAATGGGTAGCCAGCCCCCCACAGGCCTCTATTCCTCAGGCCGGGTGGGTCCTGCCTGCCTGGCCTGCTCTGCCCCATCAGACATTCCCGTGAGCTCCTAGCACAAACACAAACACCGGATACGCCTGGCTGGCTTGTCGACTTTTTCCAGCCGGCCCTGGGAAAATTGGGGGAAGCTATTAACCAAACTCTGAGGCCCAATGGAACAATGGTAGCTCTAAGTTTAGCTGTGAACTCAGCCATGGTGCAGGTTTCACAGACAGGGGCTTACCCAAGGCGGGAAGCTCAGGGAAGAACAATGCTCTATGCGGGGTTAAGATTCGATGGTGGTGAGGGAGACTTAAGGGCTACAACCTGCAGATCATAGGAGGGGCCAGACCGTTGAAATGAGCAGGACAGGACAGGATACTTGGAGGACTTTCCCTCGGGCTGTGCCCTGGGGGGTGGGGGGAGGAGCACATGGCCTGGCGGTACAGGCAGGGACATTAGCAGACTGGAGGGGTCTATACTCCACTTTCTGACAGTGGGGCTCTTGCCCCTGCCTCTTCCCACAAAGGCCTGTCCTGTCTCTGGCACTTTCACTGAAGCACGTCACCCCGGTCTCACCACACCCCAGGAACACCAGTCCCAGGGACTCCTTATGTCCGGGACAGTGATCCTCTTGCCACTCTGCACCAGTTGTGTGTCCCTTCCTAGGACCTGGGGCCCTCCCGAGCATTGGACAAGAGGTCCCTAGACCAGGCCACAAGGGCTTCACCCATTTTCTATGTTCTCCAGCTCCACAGTGACCCATGGAGACCTGCAGAAAGTCCCCTCTGCCCCCTGGGAACCAGAAACCTGAGGCCCAGAGCTTGTTCATGCAGGGTCTAAGTACACCCATGCCAGATGCCCACTGTGGTTGTTACCTGGGGGTGGAACAGTAGTGAGGACGGCCTCAGGTACTTCTCTTTCAGGACTCCCACAGGGTCCGTCACCTTCCGCTTTTCTACCCTGCTGGACAGCAACACAGAGGGTTACATACCCCACCGAGCTACCTGTTCCTGGGTAGCATGCCCATGCCAGGATTGTGAGGCTGCTGTGGAGGTGGCAACAGGGTTGGCCAGTCAACTCCTACATGAATTCCAATCGACCTTGAGGATGGCGGGGACAAAGCCCAGCTGCCCTCTGATCCAGATTTCCCCAGCTTCCCAACTGTCCCATTACCCACTCCCCAACTTTTCTGAGCTCCCCTGTATTCTCTCAAACAGTTATCACCTCCTGTGCAGGATGGAAAATTTTGCTGGAGTATAGATGTGCTTTGGAGGCCCCAACATGCACAAGCTTCCTACCCACCGCTTATGTGTGATGGGGGCTGCCCTCGGGGTCTCCTACCGCTTCCTACCCACTGCTTGTGTGTGATGGGGGCTGCCCTTGGGGTCTCCAGCCACCCACAAGTTACTCTGCATCACCTGTAAGGGCTTGCTGTAGGGGCAACTATCCTGTGCCTGCTGGTTACTGGCAATGAGGTCAGGGAGAGGGCAGAATTAACATGGAAGCTGAGCTGGGGGTCCACCATGTTCAAGGTCCCAGGGATAGATAGATGGTGGGGGACGGGGAGCAGCCTGGGAACAGGAAGCAGAAGCCAGCTACACAGGTCTGCTCATCTGCACTCAGCCTGGAGGCTTAGTTCTGGCCAGGCAAGGGTTAAGTGCTTCTGTGTGACTTGACAAGTCCAAGGTGAAGTGTGTGGCCAGTAGTCTCAGAGGCATCCTCAACCCTCTTGGCCGAGAAATCTCACAGCCCTCTGGATAAGCTCTGTGTTATCACCTGTGATAGGGAATCCCAGGCCCAGAGCATAGGGCCGCATTCTTAAAGGGACAGATCTCAAAGCCTCTTCCTGAACCTCCCATCCCCACCTCCCTTGTACATTGCCTCCCAGCTGGAGGAACTTGCCTCAGATGCTCACCAAGTTTCATTAGGTGGGGTCCTAGCTTATAGAACATGGGGTCTTCAAAACTTCAGCATGGCTGATTCTCTCGGACTCCCTGGTTTCTTCCCCAATAATGCTGATTGTCCTACAGCCAGGATCACTCTCAACCCCTAAAAATAAGGGCTCACACTGGGCTGGTGGCCTTAGATGCCTGGACTGGGCTGGCTGGGTAGCAGAGTGGTCAGGCACAGTACAGCTTCCTTGGACTAGTAGGGCCACACCCTCTTAAGCCTGCAGGCTTTCCTCTGTCTGGTCTTTCCTCTGTGATGGGGTTGGGCTAATGTTAGCGCAAGTGTATAGCCTGTGACACTAATTCTGAGTGCCGATGGTGACTAAGAGTGCAGCTTCTTCAACAGGCAAGTGTCAGGCACAGTGAAGAAGCAGAGTGAATCCCACCCTAGGCTTAGACCTTCCAAGGCAGAGCCCACAAAATCAAATTCCCCTGGCAGGCTCATGGCCTCTGTGGGGGCTAACTTCACCTCTCCTTACAGGCCTTTATCTCCAACATATTGGGACCCTCTAGCTCTCAATGCCACAGGCCACCAGAATGCTACATGCTTAAGGGTGTCTGAGGATAGAAGACCCAGGAATGGGGCTCATGACTCAGTGTGGGTTTTGAGTGCCAGGAAATATACCCCAAATAAACCTACCCCAAGACGTAGGTCTCATATTACCTTGGAGCCATTGAGCCCTGGATGGTTTTCACCATACCTGCCCTGCATGGAGTGCATCTCGGTGACGTTGGCAGCCATTCTGGAGGCCTCCACAGAAGAGGGCTGGCTGCTAGGGGTGATGGAGAGGCTGCAAGAGCTTTCTAATTTTTCTAAGAACTGGTCCGTGGAGAGAGAGCCCCTTCAACACTAAGGAGAAAAGACCTCTGCTAGACCAGAGGAACAGGACCCCAGAGTCCTCTATTGCTATGGAGCCAGCCCTGGGGACCCTGAACCTGAGACTACACAGGCATCTGGGTAAGTAAAAACTACTCTTCTCCTCCTTACTAAGGAAAATGAGGAGCAAGAGGGAGATAATGAGCCAGGATCCCATTGGCTTTAGGGCCCTTCTTTGTGTTGATGTCTCAGCCTGGTTCTCAGGGTGGAGGCTCATCCTGGGTCAGAAGAGACAAGCTTTAGGCACAGGAGTGGCTCTTCTGGCAGCTTTCCTTGTTCTGTAGGGAGGCATGTGTTGTCTGTGGCCAGTTTTGGCTTTACCCCTCAGCACAGGGACAGAGACCAAAGCCTTTGATTCAAGAGGACATCTGCACATTCCTCCCCAGCTTTGTGAAGAGCCCCAGCTGCCAGAGGAGTGATGAAACTGCTAGACATGCTAGACATGCTGTCAGCTTCCCGTGCCCCCCCAAAGGCCAGTTGACACAGCCAGGGACTTGTTATCCACACAGAGGACAGTTTCAGTCCCCACTGTCACTTAATGAGCAGAAGCAGAGAGTGCAAGGCACAAGACAACTCTCCATGACAGAACTTGACCCTGAGCACGAGGAGTTTCAAGGCTGATAGCCCTTGACCAGGAAGTACTCGTGTCCCTGCCAGAGTCAACTACAGCTGAGAATCCAAGCAGGGATGGGTTCAGGGTGTGTGGGAGACTCTTCCAGGCTTGGCTGTGCCCAGGTGAGCATGTTCCTGCACCCCAGTGTCCAGGAAGCCTAGCGTGCCCTCAGTGTGAGGCATGGGCCTAAAAGCAACTCAGCTCAAGGGAGTATTCAAGATCCCCAAGGTGTCTCTGGGAAACAGTGTGCTGGTCAGACTCTAGAATCACCCTGAAGGGAAGGGAGTCTCAATCTGGATCTGTCTAGACTAGGTTGGCCCCGTGGGCTTGTTTGTAGAGGATGGTCTTGAGTTAGTTGGGGTAGGGTGACCTGCCCATTGTGGGTGGCTCCATTCTCCGGCCGAGCATGGATGGGCATGCATTCATCTCTCCTCCCAACTGCAAAGCTAATGTGTTCTGTTTGTTTCGAGTTCCCGTGGCCCTGGCTTCTCCACCATAACAGACTGTGCTTTGAGCTAGGGGCTAAAGCAAACCCTTTTTCACTTAAGTTACTTTTGTCAGAGAATTTTATTACAGAAACAGGAAAAGAAACTAAGATACTTGGTGTCCCTAGCTCTCTGAAGAGCTTACTTCTCTTCTCAACAAACTCCAGGTCCCTGTAGCTCAGGTCTGTTCTCTGGGCCTCCAGATCTGGGGAGACAGTGGTGTTATTTCCCAAGCCTGGAAGATTCTCCAACACACCCTGAGCCTGTCCCTGATTGGCAGCTTCAGACAGCAGGTACACCCTGTGGATGGCTCTCTGTTATGGCCTGTCAGGCAGCCCTAGCTCTCTCTCAAGGAGTTTTACAGTGATACCCTAACATCCTACAGGCTTTGCTTTAGGTCAGCATGCGCTCTTGGCTGGTGCCTCCTGCATGCAATTGTCAAATCCAGGGCTTCATGCAGGGCCCCCACTGCAAAAGGACACAGTGAGATCAGTATTTCGCTCTCTCTTATGCCTCATGTTCCTTAGTAAGGGAGAAGTGTAGAGTCAGGGGATAGAAGGAGGGAGGAGGCTGATCTAGGGAAGATTCTCAGACCATGGAGGGTGACTTAGGCTTCCCACCGTCCATCCCCCAGAGCAGGTAGCACAAGGCTGAGATGGTGCACTGGGGTCTGGCACCTGGGTACCATGCACCTGCCTGGCTGCCTTCCTCTGTGCCACTATGACCTTAGCCCCTGAGAAAGGCTCAGAATTGGCACACAGGTGTCTACAAGGGCAGGAGCCATGAGCAGCAGCTGATACGTTCCTCTGGCCCTCCCCCCAGTAACTGGAGCACTGCTGGGTCAAATGACAGCCAAGGGAGCACAGTCCCACCTGGGACTCGCCACAGCCACCCGGTGTTGGTCCTGATGATAGGGAGAGGTCACTGAAAGGTGACTCCTGGGTGCATGACTGAGGAGGGGCGGGAGAGGGATGGAGGGACACCGTCGAGGGAAAGAATGAACAGACAAGCAGGGGTGTCTCTGCCTGCATGCTGCCAGTGATGCTCAGGCTTCCCCGTTGAGAGCAGTCTCGGTCTTCCCCACCAGCCACAGGACTATCTTTTAAGCCAAGGGGTCCAGCACAGGACGGTGCCCATGGGTTCAGACCTTGTCCCTGAAGGGCTCAGGAGGCCACATGAGGAAGTTCCATGGGACACCTTGCCAAGTAAGGATTCAGAAAGGAAAAATTCCAGATGTAGATACAGATGCACTCTAAATCCTAGTTTCTGTGACAGTGTTGGGGTTTCCCTGCCCTATGTACAGGCCATTGACTTCCCACTGCCCACGAGGAGCTTGGGGTCTGAGGGCCACTCAGCTGCTCCAGACTGTTCACATGTGCCTTACGGGCCAGTTACCTGTGGAGGCCCCGCCTGGCAGGTCTGAAAGCCGACTCCCGTGAGGAGCAGTTTTTCTGTCTGAAACAGAGGAGACATTGTGCCCAGTGAGGCCAAGCGTGGCCTGTGGAGGGGTGTGTGGCAAGAGCCACCTCTGTCCCCAGCCTTGAGACAAAGCAGCCTGCTTCTGCTGACAGGCCCTCTGGAGAGAGGATTGTCAAAGGCCACCTGCTGGCTGCTACCTGGACATGCTCCTTGCTCTGGCTATCCCTGGCACTGCTGGCCAACACAGGTGTCTGGGAATGGGGTGTCAGAGTGGTGGTGAGGAGAGCAGCTCTGCCAGCTCTGGAAGTACCCACCCTTGCTGTCTGTGGCCCCAGCATGCCATGTTCTAGAGGGTCTCATCACTTACCAAGCCACAGCATGGGAGGGGCCAGCCACATCGCTTGCCTAGGCCAGCCAGAGGACTTATGTTGGGGTGGGCACAAGTCTAGTCAGTCAAGAGGCCAGCTCATGTCTTCCAGCCATGCAGCTGGTTATGGTTATGGACCAGGATGGGCCCTGGACCTGGGAGCGTAGTTATCAAGAAAAACTCTACCAGGATATGAGGGAGGGGAGGAAGGATGATGAAAGGAAGAGTGAAGAAAGAAAAGACAAGGCGGGGGGGGAGGGGAGGAGAGGGGGAAGGA